CCGCCCCCCCCCCCCCCGCCAGCCTTCGCCACCTTCCCCAAGGGAGGGCCGATGATGGGAGTTCGAGTCCAGCCAACCCGCGTGTTTCCACCCACGCACCCCTCTTTGCACCCCCTTCAGGAGCGGGGAAGTGAAGCGCGTGACCCGCGGGCGGACCAGGACCCGGGACTCGCTCCCGGCCCGTGAGCGCGGGGGTTCCCACGAGGCGCGGGCCAGGCACCCGGAAGCAAGCCCCGTGCCGGATCCCGCCCGCCCTGCCTTGGGAGGGCCTTTCTTCCTGCGTAGCTTCGCCCGGCCGCTGAGCAGGAAGGTCGCCTTCGCTTTCGTGGCGCCCAGCCCGGAATCCCGGCGCGTTCACACGTTCCTTGGGGTTTGGGGGGGAAAACCCGCAGGATGCCGGAGCGCGGCCGCTGAGCGGGACTCTCGGGGTGGCGGATCCCGCGTCGTGACGGCCCTGGCAGGGATGGCTGCGGCCGAGGCGGCCGGAGAAGACGCCGCGGAGAGGTACGGGGGTCGGGGGGGGGCTCTTTTGCGCACGTGGGAACGTGGGTTCGGGCGACGGACCTCGCGCCTTTCCGCCCGTGTTCCTTTTCCGCGGCGGAGGGGGCTTCCTCCTCTACATCTGATTCTCTTCCCACCCACCCCCGAAACCCACCTCTGAGAGGCAGGTCAGGTGGAGGGGAGACCCCCGGCGGGGCCAGGAGAGGGGTCACCCCCCCGAGAGTTTCGGGGCTGAGTCGAGGCGAGAAGGTGGGTCTCGCAAGCCCCAGCCCGAGGCTGTAACCACTAAGCCACAGGGCTGGGAAGCCCCCTTCCGCGTCCAGGGGACCTGGGAAAAGTGTGCGGGTTTAAAATATGCCTATCGGTCTGCATAGATATGTGTGTCTGTGTGTATATTGTCATGTGTCGTCAAGTCAGAACTTAGGAGGTACCCGAATCGGGCTTTCAAGAGTGGTTTTATCTGTTCCTCTCCCCCACTGAGCTTCCCATGCCCGAGAAGAGATTCGAACCCAAGCCTCGTTAAGTCCTAGTCTGTTACTCTACCCCACACTGGGTATCCATTTACAGTATATTATGTATACCTTGCAAATAGGTACAGGTCTGCCTGTGTGGGTATGGTATGTATAGACACACCTTATAAAACATTGTATTTGTTTGTGCATCTGTGTTTACACACAAATCGGTATCTCCCTATTCGAGCCTCTTGTTTGGTTTTCCCTTGTAGAGGTGGATGATTGAATGGTTGCAAGGACAGGCTGGGGTGGTTTCAAAGACATTAGGAGTTGAAAGCTGCAAACAGAGTGTAGAAACAACCTTTTTTGTACATTCATGGGGTGCCTTAAAGATCCTTTATTTCTCAAGCAAAGGCAGGTCCTTAGCAGGAGAGATCCGTATGTCTACGGCTGCCAGGTATTGCCTTACTTACTTTCCCCTCTAATCCAACCGGTTTGGTAGGTCTGAAACCCCACCCTGTGGGAAGAAACCCTTTAAATTGCAGTGGTCACGAATAATCATCAAGACTTGGGCACCCCAGACAGCTCGGCTTCCCTCCCTCTCCCACTTTCAACAAGCATCAAAATGATGTTATTTTGCCACCCCGAAAGGTTCTTGGTGTCACTTCCCAGGAGCTGACTTTGCAAACAGTTTGCAATGAAATAAACAAAGCCAAGCAAATGAATAAAATGATGAGTAAGAGTGGTTTTAAAAAAAAACTAGGATTCAGCAGAAAAACAGTCAAATATTAAATCTCAGTGATGTTAAAACTCTGGGCTTTTTAAAAATCAAAATGGGCCTTTCTCAGTGCTGGAAAAAAAAAACATTAGTATAGACACAAGAAGTGCAGGGGTTGTGTTCTCTGCCTCTGGAGAGGGCACAAAATTAAGGAAGCCAGCTTTACACACTTAGGTAGAAGCTGTCAGGCGAGGAAGTGGGTGCAGTCCAGCTATACTAAAGTTTATACCCAGCAAAATTTGTTGGTTGTTAAGGTGCTTGGCAAGAAGGAAGCCCCTTCGAACGAACTCTTCTGAGTATTAATATGTACAACTGAGATCCAGTGAGACATAGCGGCTGGCGTGTTGGACTTGGGAGGCCCTGATTCAAGTCTCCAGTGAGCCCTGAACCTTGTTCTCTCTCAGTGTGACCTACCTTGCAGGGGTGTTTTGAAGGTAAAAGGGAAGGAAGGAGAGTCATGCCTGCCACTGGAGAAACAGAGGAAAGTGTAGCAACTAATAAATAAAATAAGATTGCACTGTTAATGAGAGAGAGAGAGAGAACACTCTCTTGAGCATATTAAATGGGAAAACTCTCCAGTTTAAAAAGTTAACTCATATGATTATGGCAGGTTGGCTTTTTTTCCCTCCCTCTCTTTCAGCATCCGAAGCCCATGTGCAACACAGGACTATAAAACTGGCCTCCTTTTTAGGTGTGCTGGAAATGTTGTACGTGAAATACTTCAAACACTCATGCTACATGTGGTATAACTGAAACATTCTGGGTGTGCCCACACCATATCTGAATTACACCTTTGCTTCAGGCATATTTCAGCACATGGTACCTGGATTTTCCAGAACGGGTAACACTGACAATAACAGGACTTGGGAAAGATTAATTCTTTCCGACTCCCACTCCACCTTGGAATGGCTAATCCACACCCACAGCAAATTGCCTTCTACTGAGCTAGACCGTTGGTCCTAGTTCGATGTGGTTGACGCTCATTTGCAGCAACAACGGAAGATGATTGCTCTGTTGTTGAGCGGCACCCTTTTTCTCCTATCCTGAAAGGAAGCTTTAGGGATTCCCTGGTCTTGGATGTAGGTCTTCCTCCCAGGAATCTGATGGATCTTTGCGTCATCATTAAATCCAGGACCTTGTAGCTGGTCCGGGTGGCCTATATATTGTTAACAGCTGGAGATTTTCCTTAAATGCAGGATTGGCATCCCAGAATCCCTTTCCTCTGGGCCAAAGTGGCTAGAGCTTCAATGTATTTTATTTTCAAAACCTCTGGAGGCCAGTGACTCCACTCTCCTGCTTTACTGGGGCGCAAAGTTACCCAACAGGCTGCAAAACAGGGCTTCCCAGTCCTGGCTCAGCCAGCTAATCCTGAAGGTAATCTTTCCCGATAGTATGCAAAACATCTCCAAACAAGCAAACAAACAAACAAACTGTCCAAGAGAACCATCAGAGGCTACAGGTCCCATCCAGGTAATTTCCAGATGTGCTTATCTTTAACAACATAGCGAGGTAAGCTGGCTAGGTAGCTCAGCCGTTGGGAGTTTCATTCCCCCTCGGTGCCTCCTGCAAGTGGAGCCAGCCTGTGGAGCCTTAGGCAAGCTGCTCAGTCCTAAAGTGACTGCAGAAGGGGAGGGTAAACCACTTTTGAGTACTCTCCACCTGGAAAACCCTGGAAAGGGTCACTATAAGTAAGAATTGACTTGGTGGCAGGCAGATAGCAAAACAACTACTAACAAACAAACACTGTCCAAGAGAACCATCAGAGGCTACAGGGTCCCATCCAGGTAATTTCCAAGAGATGTGCTTATCATTAACAAGGTAGTGAGGTAAGCTGTCTAGGTAGCTCAGGCATTTATGGGTCTGGCTGGGAGTTTGATTCCCCATCGGTGCCTCCTGCAAGTGGAGCCAGCCTGTGGAGCCTTAGGCAAGCTGCTCAGTCCTAAAGTGACCGCAGAAGGGGAGGGTAAACCACTTTTGAGTACTCTCCACCTGGAAAACCCTGGAAAGGGTCACTATAAGTAAGAATTGACTTGGTGGCAGGCAGGTGTTATTAACAAGGTAAAAAGCAACATGTGCTCCTTGCCTTTCGTGGGAGCTGTGAAACTCACAGGGGTTTTGCAGCATGTCGTTTTGCAGCCCTGTTTTCTTCCTTTCAGGGCTTTTGAAATGAATAAAGTAATGACAGATCCTGGGCTTAGTCACTCCCCTGTTTTCCATTCATCTGCCTTTCCTCTTGGACTGTGACGAGGCTCTCATGGCCTTTCATACAGCTCTCTAGTTATTCATGCATAGTCATAGAAGCTTGGTCCGCTCTTCTCGTGATTTGTGGGCAAACAGTAGCTGCATCTTTCTTTCTGCTCTTATTTTATTTAAGTACCTAGCCCGCCTTTTCTTGCCTAATTCAAGGCAGTACCCATACTTTTCTTTTTCCATGCTTTATCATGACAACCTGTAGGGTTGGTTGGTTGGGTCGTTGGTTGGTTGGTTGGGTCATTGGTTGGTTGGTTGGACTGTTGGGTCACTGGTTGGTTGGGCCATTGGTTGGGTCATTGGTTGGTTGGGTCAGTTGGTTGGTTGGGTCATTGGTTGGCTGGTTGGACCGTTGGGTCGTTGGTTGGTTGGGTCATTGGTTGGTTGGTTGGGTAGTTGGATCGGTTGGTTATTTTTCCCATACCTAGCCCGACTTTTCTTGCCTAATTCAAGGCAGTACCTATACTCTTTTTCCATGCTTTATCATGACAACCTGTAGGGTTGGTGGGTGGGTTGGATGGTTGGTTGGTTGGTTGGTTGGGCTGTTGGGTCGTTGGTTGGTTGGGTCATTGGTTGGTTGGTTGGGTAGTTGGATCGGTTGGTTATTTTTCCCCCCTCTCCCTCCACCTGTTTCGCCTTACCCCTCCCAGGCACTGCTGGGTCTGCTTCGCCACCGAGAGCGATGACCTGGCTGGGTTGTTGGGTTGTTGGTTGGGTCATTGGTTGGTTGGTTGGGCCGTTGGGTCATTGGTTGGTTGGGCTGTTGGGTCATTGATTGGTTGGGTCATTGGTTGGGTCGTTGGTTTGGGTCGTTGGTTGGTTGGTTGGGTCATTGGTTGGTTGGGTCGTTGGGTTGTTGGTTGGGTCATTGGTTGGCTGGCTGGGTTGTTGGGTTGTTGGTTGGGTCATTGGTTGGTTGGTTGGGTCGTTGGGTTGTTGGTTGGGTCATTGGTTGGTTGGTTGGGTAGTTGGATCGGTTGGTTATTTTTCCCCCCTCTCCCTCCACCTGTTTCGCCTTACCCCTCCCAGGCACTGCTGGGTCTGCTTCGCCACCGAGAGCGATGACCGGTCGGCAGAGTGGGTCTGCCCCTGCCGTTGCAAGGGCTCCACCAAGTGGATCCACCAGGCCTGCCTCCAGCGTTGGCTCGACGAGAAGCAAAAAGGCAACAGCACAGGCAGTGTGAGCTGCCCTCAGTGTGGCACGGAGTATCACATCATCTTCCCCAATCTGGGTAAGTAACACAGCCGGCCCAGATGTTCCCAGCTTCTGATCAGGTCACGTTGGGCAAACTCCCAGTCATACTGGCAAGGTACTGGATCTGTCCACTGAGGTTCAGCAAAGGCCTGGATCCAAGGCAGGGGATGTGGGGGCAGCTGGGAAGCTGTCTGATGCCATGTTTGGGGGCAGCTGGGGTGTCTGACACAGCCAAATGCAAGAAGACATTGGGCTAGTTACATCCAGCCAGCAACTGGAGCCATTTTATAGCTGCCCCTTTAGTTCCTGGAGCTTTAGGAGGGCCTGATCCAGAATACCTAGTGCTCCATGCTTCTTCCTTCAGTATAGGGTTTGGAGATGGGAGGATTTGCTCAGCCAGTGACACACTGGTTTCACCTTCTAGTTTGGACTTCAGCCTGGACTCATTGCCTCCTGTTTCCGGAGGGTGATAATAGAGGTCTAGGATGATGGGGTGCATTTCAGGGTCAAGTATCTCCCCATTCTCTCCCCCCCCCGGTGCAAGAGCCTGGCCAGGTCACAGAGCTGGGGGATTGTTAAGAGCCAAGCTGCCAGCAATTCCTGCAGCCCTCCGTGGATTCTTCTCCTATTTATTGGCCTTCTTTCCTTTTTCTAGGACCTTTGGTGTATTTCCTGCAGCAGGTGGACCGGGTTCTGTCCAAAGTCAGCCCTTTTGCTGCGGCTGGGATTGTGGTGGGGACCTTGTACTGGTCTGCGGTCACCTATGGCGCTGTGACTGTAATGCAGGTAACAGCTGTGTGGGAGATGGGGGGGAGCAGGGCAAAGGATGCCCTTGACCACCCAGAGGGTCTGCACTCAGATCAGAGGACCTAAAGCTTCATGGGGGTTGCAGAGCTTATTTGCAATCAATAACAACATTGGTTTTATCTGGGGGAGGGGGTTAAAAGGGTTGAATGGCAACGTTTTCATTGGGTTAAGTTTCCCGGAGCTTTGAAAAGTTACCTTTTCTGGGCTACAACTCTGTATGGGTATTTGCAGTGGCTGTTTCTGGATTGTGGAACTCCTTTCCACAAGATGTTCTTTTGGCACCCTGCCAACTGTCCTTCTGCTGGCAGGCGAGGGCCTTTCTCTTCAAGAAAGCTTTTGGACTCTGAATGGGCAGCTTCGGCAGGGGCTTTAATGGCGTACGTGGTACTCTCTTCCATTTAGTTGCATGATGTGTCTTTAAACAATCCTCGAGTAACTTCATTCAGTGGTTGTTTTAATAGGATGGTATGTTTAGCTGAGCTTTTGTATTATTCTAATTTACTGTCTTTTTAGTTATATCTGGGTTTTTTTTAAACCCCTTTTGCAAATGGTCTTGGGTCCCTGTAATACATGAGACAAAGGTAGGAGTGAAATGAAATGAAATAAAATCCTCAGGCCAGCAGTCACTCCCGGATGGAGAGTTCTGAGTCTTACATTCCACAGAAATGTTTCTGCAAAGCCGTGGGGCTTCCAGACCAACACTGGGCTGATGGTAATAGGGCCAAGTCTGTTGGTTTTTAACCACAGAGAAGGAGGGAAGGCTTCCAGCAAGAACTGGCCACTGTGTGAGAGAGATCTGGAGGAAGGTTTCAAGGAGAACGATGGGTTGGAAATTGCCGCTCAGCCACAAAGCTGGAGGAATCTTACCTATTTCCCATTCTATCTTTTTCCACCAAGGCTAGGACTTCCAGGGGAAGCAGTAGGAGAGTCTTGCTGGCAGGTGGTCAGAAGCAAAGCCAGGTTAGATTAAATCAGGCCAAGCCTTCAATCCAGGAAGATCCCTCAAAGCAGGAGTTAGGACCTCGGACAGCGCCCTGGGCCTTCAGCCTCGCGAGCTGAGCCTTGGAGAGGCTTCTGGCCATGAAGAGGGGCTTCCGGCACCTTCCAAGACCAACCAGTGTTATCCGGCTCTTGGGACGTTCTAGCGGCGCGTCCCTAGCTGGTTTCCCCAGTCCTCTGCCCCTCCCAAGCAACACCCTAGCTGCTCTACCACAGACGCTTGCTTGCATATTCTGGCCAACCTACCTTGCGGTTGGTCATACTTCCTGGGGGAAGCCATGATGCCCTTGGGGGGGGGGCTCCACCTCCTCCTGCAGCTGCTGGCTTTTACAGTGCAGGGAGGATAAAGTTCCCTTTTTTATGCATGGGGGGGCCATCCCCTGAAGGAGGTGGAAGGGGCTCAGGCGCAGGAAACGCTGCAGAGGGCCTTCCACTGAGCCAGGCAGGTGGTGTGGTTTCTCTTCCTCTTTATCGCTCCTCAGGGCATGGCGTTGGCCTCCAGTGGGAGGGAGTTCCACAGTCTGGGAGCAGCCACGGAGAAGACCCTCTCTAGTGTCCCCACCAAATGGGTGTGACCAAGAGAAAGGTCTCCCCCATTGATCTTAACACTCCTGCCTTCCTTTTGCACCCCATTCCCCAGCTCTCTCCCCTGCATCATGGGATTCCCCGACCTTAACCTTTGGTGCGACCGAGAGAAAGGCCTCCCCCATTGATCTTAACACCCCCTGCCCTCCTTTTGCACCCCTTCCCCAGCTCTCTCTCCCCCGCATCATGGGATTCCCCGACCTTAACCTTTTTTTCTATTTTTGCAGGTCGTTGGCCATAAGAAAGGCTTGGACATCATGGAGAGGGCAGACCCGCTTTTCCTGCTCATGGGGCTTCCCACCATCCCTGTCATGCTGGTCCTGGGCAAGATGATCCGGTGGGAAGATTACGTGCTGCGGGTCTGGCGGAAATACTCCAGCAAGCTGCAGGCGCTGCAGACCTTGGTACCTGGTGAGCCTCTCTCCCTTTCTCTCTCTCTCTCTGCCTGCTTTGCTTTGCCTGAGTGGAATGGGCGTGGAAGCCAGAGCTTGGAAACAGTCCTGAGGGTGAGCCTCTCTCTCTCTCTCTCTCTCTTTTTCTTTCTGCCTGCTTTGCTTTGCCTGGGCATTTGTGCTGGGCAGATGGGCATGGAAGCCAGAGCTTGGAAACAGTCCTGAGTGGGGGATTCTGGGAGCTGTAATCCAAGGAAGAAACCTCTGATGGAAGCAAAGAGGCTGCCATGAAGCTTGTCTCTCACTGTCTGGCCATTGGCAGAGGAAGACAGCTTCGGGACACCATGCTTGGGTGTGCTTTGCTTTGCCTGGGCATTTGTGCTGGGCAGATGGGCATGGAAGCCAGAGCTTGGAAACAGTCCTGAGTGGGGGATTCTGGGAGCTGTAATCCAAGGAAGAAACCTCTGATGGAAGCAAAGAGGCTGCCATGAAGCTTGTCTCTCACTGTCTGGCCATTGGCAGAGGAAGACAGCTTCGGGACACCATGCTTGGGTGTTTGTGTCTGCACGTGGGCACGTACCATTTTTGGGGGGTTGGGGGGAGAAGCATGCGGGCCCCCAGAGCTGCCAGACTGCACCTCCCACGATGCCGCACCCTTGCCGATGCTGCCTAGGGCCGAAGGGCATTATGGCCGAGCATCACCCGGAAGGGCACCTTGCCCTTTATGCCAGGAGAAGCAGAAGGCGGTGACCTGCAGAGTTCTTGGCTGGGGACTGGAAAGCAGGAGATTCGCGCAACGTCGCTCATTTTGCCTCTTCTGTGGGAGATGGAAACCCCAGGGTGGAGTTTGCAAGACCCCAATCCCTGGGGTCGCGGGACTCGGTGGACACGAAACAAGACCAACAACAGTTCTGCACTTACTGTATAGCATCAGTTTTGCAGTGCTGGTGGCCCACCTGGTATCTGTCAAAAGGGATAAAAGTGTTTCAATATAAAAGGGACTTTGTGTTCAGGCTCCTGAACCTCTCTCTGATCCTGCCTCTGAGCTTTTCCCTGGCATCGGTTCCTTAGCTTCAAAGGGACCTTTGCAACCCTAAGGACTAGCCACCGTCTATCCATGAGAGCGGAGATTCCCAGGAGGCCGGATTCAGTGCCCCCGTCCCCTTCATCCCTGCCCTTGGGGTTTTCCACTCTCCTTCTGCTTCCTCCTCCTCCCAGGGGTCAGCCGCCCAGGCCTGCACGTCCCGCTGCCGGAGTCGCGCTACCCGAGCGACCACCTCTCCATCTCGCGCACCCTTTGCGGGGCCTTGGTCTTCCCCTCCATCGCCAACCTCGTGGGCAGGGTCATGTTCCGCAGAGTGAATTCCAGCCTGCAGCGCACCGTCCTGGTGAGTGAGAAGCTTGAGAGAGGACGCAGCTCAGCCAAACTCCGGGGGATCAATAGGGGGTGGAGGCAGCTTCTCTGCCATCGTGCCATGACATGGCTCAACAGTCTTCCCAGCGGCGCCTCTTGGAGAACGGTAGTTGAGTTGCGTGGCAGAGCATGTCTATCTGTCTGCTAGCCGTACGATAGTGATTCTAGACCAGTGGATCATGCCCTCCCCACTAGAAAGTAGATCAGGATTTCAAGGGAACTGGGTTTACTTTGAAAAAGCAAGTGCAATATTATAGAATCATAGGATGATGGATTTGGAAGGAGCCTCTAAGGCCATTGAGTCCAACCCCCTGCTCAAGACAGGAATCCAAATCAAGAGGTATCGAACAAATTGGTTGTCCCATTTTCTCTTGAAGGCCTCCAGCGTTCGAGCGCTCACCACCTCCCCAGGTAACTGGTTCCCTTGTCGTCCTGCTCTAACAGTTAGGAAGTTTTTTCGTGATATTCAGCTGAAATCTGGTTTCCTGCAGCTTGAGCCCATTATTATGTGTCCTGCACTCTGGGATGACGGAGAACAGATCCCCCCCCCAATTACAATGCAATGTTTGCATTTGGAAAATAATTGGACCTCTTGCTTGTTTTGTATGCACCTTATTGCATCGTCCCGTGGCATCTGTTGCCATGCTTGCTTTCTCGGTTTACAAATGGCTTGTATCGTTTTTAGTTGCTATGTTCCAGACATCATAAGAAATTATCGAAGGAGGCAGGAGTGAAAAGGGAACCATGAGAGATTTTGTTTTTGAAACGAAGACATGATTTTTTTTAATATGCTTGTTTTAGTTTTTTTTTGAACGATGACTCCCAGAATTCAAACAAACAAAACAAACACACAGACCCCCCCACACACACACACACCTCCAAAAAAGGTTTCTAATCTTTTAAAACCCTGCCTTATAACTTCCTTCTTTATTTTTGTTTTCCTGGCAGGGTGGAATTGCATTTGTCGCCATCAAGGGAGCACTGAAAGTCTACTTCCGCCAGCAGCAATACTTGATCCAAGCGAATCGGCGCATCCTCAACTTTGTGGAGAAAGAGGAAACGGAGAAGGATTCGGCACAGCTTGAGGAGGACAGCGGGAGCGAAGCCGGACTGAGCTAGGCTGTAGACTGTGCTGGGGGAACGGGGTCCGGATGCTTCCAGGTTCAGCAGAGAAAACCGTTTTCTCTCCAAGACGGATCTTCGGCTGCCTGCTTCCACTCTGAAAGGAAGACATGGATGGCCAGGAGGGGCTTCTCTGCTGTGTGTTTGGGCAAGAGCCTGGACTGGGAAGGGTCGGACTCCACAAGGGGCATTACTACGAGCTCTTCTAAGCAGTGGCACAGTCCTACATTTGGGAGGGCAAGTGCCCATCAGAAAAATCCCTTTAGTCAACCTCCCTTCCCAAAAGCAGAGGCCACAAATGCAGGGAGCCGGATTGGTCTGTACCAACACATGGGGAGCAGGTCTTTTACGAAGTTAACGGCTCTTAATGACCTTTTACAACCACACTCAACAATTCTGGATTACGACAGGGACCACCTGAAGTAAGGTCCTGTTCTAGTCATTGGAGCTAAATTGAGCCAGAGCACGCCAGCCCAAAGGGTGTCATAGTCCTTGGTATTCTGATGCCCCGGGCACCCTGTGAGTTTCGGCTCCACTGCGCCACTGCTTGGAAGAGCATAATATTATTGTTAAAGCTGGTCGCTTCTTTGCAGCTTGACCCATTGATGTCACCTCCTCGGTCTTACTAATTTCTCTTCCATCTTCATTTTGAATCCTACATAGGAGCTTGTTCGCTGATTTTGTCACCAGTTGTGGTTGAAATAAAAAGGAAAGAATTCCATCATAAACATCCTTTTCACCACCTGAGTGCGAATGGTTCTGTTTTACTTGCTTATTTACAAACCGTGTGGGTTTCAAATCTATGTGCCTCCCCCCCTCACAATGGAAATCAGGATGTTGCAACGAGAAAGCAATTCCTTTCTTAACCCTAATATTCACCCCACAGAGGAAGTAAGGCTTAAAGGTGATGGCCCCAAAATTACCAAACTGAGCTTTAACTCTGCCCAGGGATTTGAACCCAGGGCAAAAGAAAAGTGTGGTGTGTATATGCCACCCCATAGTCCACAAAGCAGTTTACATTTTTTTTATCTTACAGGCTACACATTGCCTCCCTCCACCAACAAACTGGGTACTCAATTTACTGACCTTGGAAGGATGGAAAGCTGAGTGAACCTCGAGCCAGCTGCTTAGGATTGAACCCAGGTTGTGAGCAGAGTTTTAGCTGCAGGACTGCAGTTTAACCACTCTGCCACGGGGCTCCTTATCCACTCTTTGTAAGAAACCAGGAAGGATACAGAGGGATATGAGCTCTTAGAGGTTTCCTTCCCTTCCCCTCACAGACCATAAAGTAGCCTCCCAAGTAGTGAGTGGGGGATTCTGGGACATGTAGTCCAAAGAAAACATTTTTAAGCTTGGATGAAGCATAATATTTGTTATTATGCCCCAAGCTGCTACAGAACGAAGCAATTGTCGTAGAACACACCAGAGATGCCACGTCCTGGTTCTGGGAGAAAGGTGGAGCAGAAATATAATAAAACAGAGATGGGGATTATTTATTTATTTATTTATTTTATTAGATTTGTACCCCACCCATCAAGACCAAAGGTCTACTATGGGCGGCAGATGCCACACCTATCGATTCTGCCAGCGATCTGAGTCTCTCCCTTCATTGCACTGATTTTCCCCAGGTATGCCAGCCCCTCCCATGGAACATACACCAGGCTGGCAATTTCTCTACAGTGCAAAGGCTGGTCGTATGTATGATCTGCCCTGGCTGAGCAGCTGCCAAACACACACAGCCTCTGTCTCTGGAAGTTTTTGAAGCAAGAAGATCAAAGAATAACCCAGTAAAATGGGGCTACTTGGATACAGGACACGTTTTCTGTGACTGTGGGGAAATTCAATCCATGCAGCACTTCTGTGCATGCAATTTATGCCCCAAAATATGTACAAAAGGAGATCTAGCCAATGGCTGAGATAACGCTATTGAGGACGCCTGCTTCTGATTAAAAATAGTCTAATTATTCTTTTTTTAAAAATATATATATTTAAAATATTTTAGGTTAAAGCCAGCACTTTGAATCATGTGAACGAACCTCTCAACATGTTAAATTGTTTTTAATTTATACCTATATTTCCTATCTGTCCATAATTTTAAATTGTGCAACACTCTGATGCGAATAAAGAAAGAATAAAGGAAATTGCAAGAATGAATGCTTTTTCTCTCTCACTGCAAACAAACAGCAGAAGCAAATGGAATCAAACTGTGTGCAAAGAGCACATTCAGTCTCCAGGTGTGTGGGTCAAGACACGCGTGTTCTCCTCTGACCTTGCGATGCCCATCTGCTCCTCCTTTGGACCTTTTTCCTTGATGGGAAAAAGCCGAGAGAAGGCCTCACAACTGGTTCTGCAGTCTATGCTGTCGTTTGCTGGGGTTCCTGCTCCCAGCCAGATGTCAGAACCCGGAAAATTTACATTGTAGGATTACAATTTCCAGTATTTCCCAAATCAGCAGAGATGCTCTCCGGCACCATGGCGTTCCATGCATGGCATTTTGGGCCACTGTGTTTCCGTGCATCAGTCAGCATGACCAATGGTTTGGAGTTCTGGAAAGTGTCATCTCAAACAACTGAAAGGTACCACGCTCCTGATTGTAGCGACTGCGGATCTGATCAATTCTGCCCCAACCTTGACAGCGGAGAGCTACAAAAGCCGTGGTTCTCAATCTTGGTTCCCCAGATGTTCTTAGACTGCAACTCCCAGAAATCCTAGCCAGCACAGAGAGTGGCAAAGGCTTCTGGGAGTTTTAGTCCAAGAACATCTGGGGACCGGAGGTTGGGAACCACTGAACTAAATGATTTCGAATCTTTATTTTATTGTATTTTATTTGCTTTCTGGTGTCATTTGTAATTCGGCCACCAGATGGCAAAGATGGCTTGTCTTTTAGGAGTGAGTGAAAATGTCATTTTGCTGCACACTTTTTTTGTAAGAACTTCCTAAAACTCACCAATCTGTTTGTCTTAAGGGTGGAGAGGATTTGAGATTTAAAATATCTGCACATGAGGGAAACTGAACAAAAATATGAAGATGATCAGGAGTCAGACTGCCTCTAATGAAAGGCTACAATATTTAGAGTTGTCCGTCCTAGAAGTAAGAAAAGTAATGGAGAATACAGAGGTGAACAAAATTAGGCAAAATATTGGGGAGGAAAGGGATAAACTGGAGGCTGGCCCCATTTCCCAGAACACAAGAACCCGATGTGGTCTTCCAATGAAGCGGAATGGTGGGAAATTCAGGATGAGATCAGAGCAGAGCTCCATCTAGTTCGGCATTCTGTGCTGAAGTACTCCTTTCCACAGTACAGAGCTGAACTGTGGAACTCACTGCCACAAGATGGCTCCCCATGTGGATGGTTTAAAGAAAGGGTTTGATTCTCTCTCTTTTGGAGATTAGGGTCATCAGCACCTACTAGGCAGAATGGTGACCAGGGGAGCTGTCAGGAAGGGATCAATGCCATCACCCTCACATCCTACTGGTTGGCTGTCCATAGCCCACTGCTTGACCGCTGAAAGGGCACAGAATGCCGAATGAGACAGAGCTTTGGTTAGATCCAATGTCTCATTTCTAAAGTTCTTCATTTCTCTGATTTTCTTTTTATAAAGCTCAGCTTGAGTCCTTATCACAACTTGTGAAGGCAGGAGCCATCATTCCGAAACTAGCCAGCCAGCCCAACTGATCTGATGGTCTATAGCCAGAGGAGCTGGTGGTGAGGGAGAATGGGGACGATGGTGTGGTGGATCCACAGCTTGCAGTGTTGAAGCCCAGACACGTTTTTTGTTATCAGAGATAACAGCATCATCCGCCACCTTTTCCAGACTTACCTGTTCCCTCTGTGCTTGGCTGCCGCCCTCTCAGTAGGTAGGAGGAAAAAATGGATTTTCCCAGGAGCAGCGTACTGTTGCAAACTCTCCCAGCTGTAACCTAAAGCATTTGGGAGTAGTCTTGTCCTGAATGGAAAAACAAGAGCCATTAACTCCAGAAAAGATCTACTCCTCATTTATTCCTGTCTCAATCTAGCAGCCAACATTTTGGGGCTCTCCCAGAGGAAGGAACTTACGGGAACGAGCGTCTGCATTTCCAAATGCAGGCACTCAGTCCCTCATCTTGGAAAGATTACTAATTTTTGCACTGCATCTCCCACATTCCTCCATCCACCCACACTACTGGGTGGGAGTTGTCGTCCGACAAAATACGGAAGGTCCTTGTTGCCCAAGACCCGAGTCTAAGGCAGGATGGGGTTCATGCTGCCTATGATTGCTTTTCTCAGTGCCCGTAATAACTGGTTTAGAAGGCCACAATCCACCCTAATGGCTTGTCAGGGAGGTCCCTGGAGTTCTGTGCCAGCTAACCCCCAAATTTGCTTTGATTTGTGCTTAATTTAGATGCTTTCAGCAATGCAACCCACATTTGGCACCCTACTTCTGCCTGGTTGCTAAGTGACACGTCTCTGCAATTCAGCTCAGGGGTGAATCATCTCCCTTCACCCCACCCCATCATTCTGGACACACACATTCCCTGTTTTTCTCCACAGCTGCCCCCCCCAACCCATTTCAGACCCATCATCATGTCAACACTCTCTCCTCCATACCATCCTTCTCCTGCTCCTGCAATATCAGCGAGGTTTGGGCAGGAGAACGCTCCGCATGGGGCGGTGTGTGTGTGTGGCATTCAAGAGTGAGATGTGACAACAGCCATCGGGATTTTCTGACTGGTGACCCGAAATGTCACAGCCTCACACACACCCCCCATTCTTGAAAAACTAGTGGATGGGTTGCAAATTTGGCAAGCAGAGTACATGGGGGAAAGAAGGAGGGAGACTTTTCTGTTTAATAAGACTTTAGAAAGCAAACAGAGGAATTGCGAGGGGACAAAGTGGGGTGTTTTTTCTTTCCACTGCTGAAAGAGAGCTGAGGGGAATCTTCACACCACAATTATACTGTTTTGTTCTCACTAGCTGCAGAGGGAAATATTACATAAACACCTCTCTCTCTGTCTCTCTCTCTCTCTCACTCTCTCTCTCTCTTGCTCTCGCTCTCACACACAGAGAGAGAAAGCAAAACTGCTGCAGACAAAGCCAACACAACAAAATGAGCTTCCCTCCTTCCCCCCCACCCCGCCACATTCCAACCATTCACTTATCCATGTAAGACTGTAAGAACAGAAAGCAAAACTGCTGCAGACAAAGCCAGCACAACAGAATGAGCTTCCCTCCTTCCCCCCCCACCCCGCCACATTCCAGCCATTCACTTATCCATGTAAGACTGTAAGATCCTCAGGGCAGAGACCTATACATTTCTTCCTCCTCCTGTAAGGCAGTGTTCTCGAAACCTCTGGGTTGTTTGACCTCCTGAAGAGACCCTTTTATCCTTCCCACAGAAGAG